CTGGCCGGGTGAGAGGCCTCAGACACCACTCCCCTGGCCGGGTAGCGAGGGGCCGGGCCCCAAAGCCTCAGCTGCTGGGCTCCGCACTGTTGGGAGAGAGATTCGGAGGGAACACAGGGCAGAGAGCGCAGGAGTCCGCCTCCGGCCAGCGGCGAGAAGGGCTCGGGATTCCCGGGGGTCCCTGCAGGAAGTTCCCATTGGAGCCGCAGCCCCGCCCCCGGTCCTGCCCCTCGCCCGGGCTGACCCCGCGCTGCCAGGGCTTTGGGGGATTAAGGAGAATTCTGTGTGAATGCAGATGCCGGCACCGTTTCCAATGAACGACCAAGTGCGTTCTGAGAGGAGGGGCCGGCGGGGGAGTGGGGACACCAGGCGGCTGGCCGGGGCCCAGGCCTTTCTGAAGGTGCGTGGGCACAGAGACGGGCGTGCACTGAGAGACACAGGCAGTGGACACCCAGAGCACAGAACACCTCAACTAGGGTCCTCTGCTGACCCCGCCCCCATCAGCCCGAGGCACCAGAAGCCCCGCCCCCAATCCCTACCCACCCCCACCCCGGCCACTCCACTCCGGCCCCCGCTTCTGGCTCCACCATTGTATCTCCCTGCAGAACACCTGAGCCAGCTGTCTGCTGCCCAGGCCCCTGCAGTGGGATGGGTAAGTCCACGTGTGTCCCGGGGCCAGAAGCCACGCAGAGCCCGGGAGGCACACAGGCCCCTGCCCCGCACAGGGCTGCAGAGGGGAAGCTCTAGGGGCTGCCACTGTGGCGGAGCAGGCGAAGTGCCCGTCTGTGCCGCCAGCGGCCCTTGTGGCCAGTTCAAGTCCCGGCTGCTCCACTTCTGATCCAGCTCCCTGCCCTGGCCTGGGAAGGCAGCGGACGATGGCCCAAGTGCTGGGCCCTGCACCGTGTGGGAGACCTGGAGGGAGCTCCTGGCTCCTGGCTCCAGCCTGGCCCAGCCCCGGCCATTGCAGCCATTTGAGGAGTGAACCAGAAGATCACTCTGTCTCCCTCTCTTGTAAATCTCTCACATAAATAAATTTTAATTAAAAAAGGAAGCCCCGGAGACCTCAACTCTCCCAGAAGCAGGAGTCCTGGCCAGAGGCAGAGCCACCCACGCCCAGGTTTCAGAATAAGTGGCTGAGTGAGTGACCAGCACTCCGCTCCTGTGGACAGGGGAGTCCATGATGCAATACCGGGCAATGCCCTCTAGGGGGCGTCACGCCCTGTTCCTCTTCTCCCCAGCTCCTAGCCTTCCAGCACCAACAAATAATCGTGGAAGGAACGGTGTCCCAGGCCTCAGTGGGCCAAGTCCCAGCTCCATCAACCCAGCCAGAGTGAAGCTGTGTCCTGGTGTCCTGGTCGCCCAGCCAGGCCCCGGGTCAGGCTGTCCTGCAGGGTCAGCGGGGCAGTGCCCTGGAAATGCACCTGGCAACCACGTCAGCTGGGCCCAGGGCTGCGCGTCTGAGTGCCCATAAGGGCACAGGTGAAGCCTTAACCCCACGGGGCGCTGCGTGGAGGCCGGGGTCAGAGAGCCGCCCTCCTCCTGGCCGGTCAGAGCCAGAGAGGCCGCGCCAGGCTCCGCCTGCCTGCACCGTGGTCTCGGCCGGCGGATCCTTCAGCCACCCAGCCCGTGGTGCCTGTCACAGTGGCCTGCGGACGAGCCGGCTCCCCCAACACAGTCGCAGGTGGGAAGATGTTGCCGTTTCTGGCTTGCTCTGGGCTCACGGCTGGGGGAGCCCCAGGGTCAGGGACGGTCCCTGCCAGCCGCAGGGCCCAGGGCTGCAGCGGTGCCCTGCAGGGAGTGATTCTGGGTCCCAGGAGAACACGGGGTTGGGGGTATCCAGGCCGGGCGGCCTGAGAAGAGGCTGCATCTGCCCCGGGCGAGGACCCCGCATTGAGCTCCTTCCAAGAAGGCGAAGCCAGGAGCCCCAGAATGGGGTGGGGGGGGGCATGGAGCAAGGAGGAAGAGCTGCAGGGCGGGAGACCCTGGGGGCTGGGGGAAGTGGCGTCTGCACTGTGCTGTCCTGTGGTCACAGGGAAGCAGAGCTGCCCCCACGCAGAGTGAAGCCGGCAGGGGTGCAGGAGACCTTGGGGTGGGAGTCTGGACCGGGAGCAGCACTAGCCCCAGACAGGAGCAGGGGGAGACCCCAGACCCCCATGTACAAAAGACAGGGGCTCAGGTCCAAGGACTGGCTGGGTCGCCAACGGAAAGAAAACAGAAAGCTGCAGACACGGGTCCGGGGCACCGCGCTTTGCCGAACCAGCTCGGCGGTGAGCAGAACCTACCCCAGGGGTCAGGCCCAGCTCAGCCTGGGCCTGCCTGCTGCACCCAGCCGGCTTCCCCCCCAGGGGCGTGGCCCTGAGCACCAGGGAGCTCAGGACAGGTGCAGGAGCTGAAGACAGAAGAATCGGCCCTGGCCCTGCTGGGTCCCCCCCCCGCAACCGGCTGCAGATTACCGTGGAGACAAACGTGGGAGAGGTGTGGTGCCGTGCTCCGGTTTGGTAACACCCTGGCTGGGACCTGCCACCCCCTTGCAGCCGCTCCAAAGGACAGTTCTTAACCTTGTGCGGGGCGCTGGGGAAGTGCGGGCTGAGGGTGCTTCCCAGGAGTGGCAGGCTCAGTGTGCGGCGACTGGGCCACGGAGCTGCGGTGACGCCACAGGTACTGCAAGCTGGCCGTGACCCTCGCCGTCCCAGTGTCCCCCGTGGACAGTCAAGCCGGGGGATTCCAGCCTTGGAAGCCGACATCCGGAGGTGGCCATGGCTTGGGTCACTCGGCCCAGACCACAATCGGGCAGTGTTCTCGGGGCCTGGAAACAAGGGCGCCTTGTTCCTTGTTTGCCTGGGAGGTCAAAGTCCACCAGTGGGTTTTCCCTCCCCGACAACTTGGCCGCGAAGGTTTGTTCAGCGCGCGCCCCTGCGCGGCCTCTCTGTGGGCAGCGGGCCTGCGTCCCGGAGTGGGTGCGCGGCCGTGAGGAGACCCCGGCCCCCAGTCCTGGCTCCAGGTCCCTGAAGACAACTTTCTGAGCCAAACCTGTCTGCCAGCCGAGCTAAGGGGCTGAGAGCGGCCAGGGCACCCCACGGGGACCCCACTCGTGCCCATCATGGAAGAGACGAGAGCAACAGGCTCTGTTCCCCGTCCTCCTCCGAGCGTCTTCGCCCTTGCCTGCCCACTGGACTTGACGTGGAGACGCCCCAGCCTCGTGGGTGGATTCGCCCAGCCTCGTGCCCGGAGACGCCCCCAGCCTCCTGAGTGGATTCGCCCCCAGCCTCGTGCACGCTGTGGGGACAGTGCTGATGTGTGTTCCCGCGCACCTGACTCCCATGTGCCAGGATCAGGACCCGAGGCCGGGGTCTGCCTGGTTTCTCCCCAGCCTCGGGCCCCCAGCGGGCACCTTCCTCTCTGACCACAGCTCAGCACCAGGTGCTGAATGGGACCCTGGCTGTCCTCGGGCGGGACAAGGCCGCGCAGGACTGGCGCCTGCCCCCGGCACGTAAAGGTGCAGCCAGGCCGGCGCAGCCCTCCCCTGGGCCAGCAGAGGCACCTGACACGGCGCAACGCCCCAATCCCACAGGGGCTGCGGCCAGCGTGGGCTTCCTTCCGGGCCAGTGCAGTGGACGTGCAGAGCGGGGGGCCGCGCACCTCGGGAAGCAGAGCCCGCGGGACTGCTCTGGTCTCCCGCTCGCTCCCCGGGCTCCGGCACCGCACAGTCGCCGACGCTGGGAGGACGGGCGGCTGAGCTCCGAGAGGGCTCCTGGGCTGGCCCTGCGCCCACGCGGGGCCACCGCCCTTCCTCCCCTCTGGTGCTGTGTCTGGCTGGGCTGCACTTGGCTCTCCTGTGGAGAAGCCCCCCTTACACACACACACACACACACACACACACAGCGGGCTCGGCCGTGTCGCCGGGCGGTCACAGGGCCTGCGACTTGCTCCTGAGGGCTGGCTCCTCCGCGCTCTCAGGGGCAGGAGGCCCTCTGACCACCCCGCTCCCCCGCCTTCCCCTGCAGGGCGTGCACAGGATGTGCACGTGTGTGAGCTTTGGTTCACGTGTGAGTGTTGGTTCATGTGAGTGTGCGCTCCAGTATCGTGTGCACGGGAGGGTTAGGGAGCCCCCTCTGTCCTTTGCTCTCCAGAACGGGGCAGAGTGGCAGCCGACCTCCTGCCTGGAGGCAGCACCCTGCTCCAGGTTGCCGGGCTTTCGTGGTGAGATCCAGGGTCCGGGGCTGCATGCCGGCGAGTGGCAGAAATGCCAGCATGCCAGAGCCAGCCAGGACCCCAGGCTCCGTGGGGGTCACAGGGCCCCTGCTTGCGGGCCCCAGGAGAGCTCGGCTGTGTCTCAGGGCCAGCGTGGCAGCACGCGAGGCTGCCTGGCAGATGCTTGGGGGCCGTGGCCAGGCCCCTGCACCTGCGCTGGTGGGAAGGGGATACAGCCATGACAGCCAGGGTGGTGTGGAGAGAAAGGACCTGGGTCAGCCCACAGGTGGGGCCGGGGCGGTCCCCCTGCAGCCTGGGAGAAGCCACTGTGTCGGTACGCCAGGAGCTACCACGGGCAGCGCCTCTCTTCACCCAGCCCTCGGTGCCCCGGAAGCACCCACTCCGGCAGGAGCCCCATTGCCTTCCCGGGCCTGGTGTCTCCTGCAGGAGTCTGCTAGGGGGCAGGAGGTCCCCAGAGAGAGGTGGAGCCAGTTCTGGAAGCACCGCCCCCCAGCGCAACCTCTCCATCTCCACCCGACCGGGAAGTCAGCCACCACTCTGCCCTCCTCCCTGCACCCCCGCCCCTTCCAGGGAGGCAGGCGCCCCGCCCTCGGCAGCAGCACCTGAGCTGTTAGACCTGAGCCCGTGCGGTGTCTCGTGGCTTAACAGTGTCAGCCGCCAGACCTGTGCTGGGGTTGTCAGGTGAGGCACCAGCTACAGTGCGACGCTCGCCCCTCCTCCAGAGAGGGCAGGGGGGTCTTGGCTCCCCTGCTGCCCTCCAGCGCCTGGTGCAAGGTGAGTTCCCCCATGAGAGGCATAGCTCAGAGCGGCACTCAGCTCACCCGTGAGGTGAGGACACTCAGCACAACCCAGGAGAGCCCTGACACACCTGCTGGGACAGCTCACACCTGACACACCTGCTGGGACAGTGCACTCACACCTGACACACCTGCTGGGAGAGCACACACCTGACACACCTGCTGGGACAGTGCACTCACACCTGACACACACCTGCTGGGAGAGCACACACACCTGACACACCTGCTGGGACAGTGCACTCACACCTGACACACCTGCTGGGACAGTGCACTCACACCTGACACACCTGCTGGGACAGTGCACACACCTGACACACCTGCTGGGAGAGCACACACACCTGACACACCTGCTGGGACAGTGCACACACCTGACACACCTGCTGGGACAGCTCACACCTGACACACCTGCTGGGAGAGTACACACCTGACACACCTGCTGGGACAGCTCACACCTGACACACCTGCTGGGAGAGCACACACACCTGACACACCTGCTGGGACAGTGCACTCACACCTGACACACCTGCTGGGAGAGCACACACCTGACACACCTGCTGGGACAGCTCACACCTGACACACCTGCTGGGAGAGCACACACACCTGACACACCTGCTGGGAGAGCACACACACCTGACACACCTGCTGGGACAGTGCACACACCTGACACACCTGCTGGGACAGTGTACACACCTGACACACCTGCTGGGACAGTGCACTCACACCTGACACACCTGCTGGGAGAGCACACACCTGACACACCTGCTGGGACAGCTCACACCTGACACACCTGCTGGGACAGTGCACACACCTGACACACCTGCTGGGAGAGTACACACCTGACACACCTGCTGGGACAGTGCACACACCTGACACACCTGCTGGGACAGCAGACACACCTGACACACCTGCTGGGACACGGGGCTCCAGTGGAGATCCAGTGGACACCAGGGCAGGAGAGCCTGCCCCACGGCCACAGACCCCACAAAGGCTGGTGAGGTCACAGCCCACACCCGTGACTGCCCAGCCCTGGGCCGTGGTTGCGGTGGATAACTGACACAGTGCAGGGCACAGGAGCCAGTCATGGGGAAGTAAGTGTAAGATTCTTGCGGGGAGCTGGCCAGGATAGAATTTCCCTCTTCAGAGACGGTGAGCGGGCACAGCCCAGCTAGGGAGGTGTGAAGTGTGGGTGAGGGGAGAGGGAGACACACAGATGGACAGAGAGACTGAGAGGCCACAGAGAGGGACAGAGGGAGAGGGGGACAGAGAGACCCAGGCAGAGCTGTGAGAGAGGAGCGGGGCAGGAGCCGGGGAGGCCGGAGGGTGCGGACGGGAACTGGGCAGAAGCCAGGGGCACCCAGGTCAGGGAAGAGAAGGTGTTGAGCCAGGACCACCCGGGGAGCCCCTCCCCTGGGGACAGAGCTGACCTGAGAGCAGCCCCTCGCTGCTGTGGCTTCCGCCCTGGCAGCTGAGAGGGCGTCCACCCCGACCGCACGGCGACTGGGAGAGGACACGAGAGCCCCCTCTGTCCCTCTTCTGCCCCCCCACTTTCCTGGGCAGGGTGGACCCTCCCTCCCAACCTGGTGGGGTCAGCAAGGACAGACGCTGGGCGTGGGCAGGGCACGAGGCTCCCAGATGCACCAGACTTCCGGGGGGTCTGACGGCCCAAGGTCCCCAGGTCAGGGTCACAGAGCGGGGGAGGGGTTTCCAGCAGGGCTGCCGCAGGGCCCCCTGTGCCTGGGGAGGGCCTGTGGCCACCTCTGGCCCCCCGCTGAGCCAGGGCGCCACCAGCACCCTGGCCCCTGTCCTGCAGCAGGGTCACCACAACCCAGAACTCCCCCACCTGGGACACAGGTACGGCTCTGGCTACTGTGCTGTAAGCCATGAGCGTGTGAGATCCTGGGCTTTTTACCCGGTGTGGGGAGAGAATTGGTACAGCGAACGGCACGTGACTGCCTCAGCCCGGGGCGAAGGCGACTTTACAGGAACTTAAATGTGTCGCTGAGTAGAGCAGGAGCCTACTCCTTTTTAACATCTTTTATGTGGATTTTTAACATTTTTTATTAATTTCCATTTTATTTGAAAGGCGAAGAGACAGAATTCCATCTGCCGGCTCACCCCCAAATGCCCCCAACAGTCAGGGCTGGGCCAACTGGAAGCCAGGAGCGGGTAACTCTGAGTCTCCCAGTGAGTGGCAGGGGCCAGGCACTTGAGCCGCCACCTGCTGGCTCCCAGGGATGCAGGGACACCAGGACCCCAGGGCGGGGCACGGGCATCCACCGCCCGCCCAACACCCCACTGCCATGTCAGGGGCGGGCTGCGGCAGCCAGGATAGGGAAGGCCTCTAGCGTCGGGCCCAGACGCTCTCTCCCACGGCTGGCGTGGACAAGCTCCCCGACAGCCGCAGGGGAGCCGGCCTGGGTCCAGCTCCAGCCGCGGAAGGCAGCTCCCTGCCGCCATGGTCGCCACACCCCACACTTCCTGCTTCCTGCCCTTTGTTCACAGCCAGCCCCGGGCCCTTTCTGTTTCTGGAGCTCAAAGCCCGCCGCTTCCTGCCATTCCTCCACAGGTGCAGACGCCGGCGGCATTTCCGGGAAGGGAGCGGAGCTGGGGCCCCTCCCGGGCCTCATCAGGGAAGGGAAGGGGGCGGAGGGGGTCTGCTGAGACCCAAGGCCGTGGCTATTTGAAAGGTGGAGTTACAGAGAGGGAGAGGCGAGAGAGGGCTTCCATCTGCTGGTCCCCCCCAAGGTGGCCGCAACAGCCAGGGCTGGGCCAGGCCAAAGCCGGGAGCTTCATCTGGTCTCCCACGTGGGTGCAGGGGCCCAAGGACCTGGGCCCCCTTCTCTTGCTTTCCCAGGCCACAGCAGAGAGCTGGATCGGAAGGGGAGCAGCCGGGACTTGAACTGGAGTCCAACTGGGCGCTGGAGCTTCAGGCGCTTCACGGCGCCGGCCCCATTGGGCCTTCTTGGCACATCGACATGAGGGGAAGTCTCCTCCGGTGGCCTCCAGGGTGACGCGGGTGATTTCCTATGCCCTACGCCTCGTGATCCGAGTACACAGACACGCGTGGGCCTGGAGCAGCGCACACGCATCCTCCACCCCAGGACAGGACGTGTGGGTGGGAGCACACAGACCCGTGTGGGTGGGGGCACACAGACCGTGTGGGTGGGGGCACACAGACCCGTGTGGGTGGGAGCACACAGACCGTGTGGGTGGGAGCACACAGACCCGTGTGGGTGGGAGCACACAGAGGGGTGAAGATTCGGGTGACCCCAGGTTTCCACAGCGCAGCCCGGTCCCCCTCCGCGAGGCACATGCAGGAGGGAAACCGTGATCCTCAGATCTCAAACCTGGTCTGTTTTCACTCCTGGGTGAAGACGAGCTTGTATTTAACGTCACAGGCTGACGGCCGATCGGTGAGAACTGCTACACGTGGTGGGAGTCACGTCAAACACGCACGATGTCACATCGCGTGAGCCTTCCTGGGATCAGGCTCGAGAACACGTTCCACTCCCGGTGAGCGAGCCAGCGCTGGGCGGGGGCTGAACCTCGCGACGCCGGCTCCCGTCCCAGAGCGCTGGTCCCACTCCTCGCTGGTCCCACTCCTCGCTGCTCTGCCTCCCGCACCTGCTAACGCGCCGGGGACGGCGGCAGATGAAGGCCCTCGGGCTCGGGCCCCTGCGCCCACGCGGGAGGCCAGATGGAGGCCCCGCTGCTGCGGGCATTCGGGGAGTGAGTCAGCAGGTGGAAGATGCCTCTCTCTCAAATATTAATACATCGATAATACTTCTTTAAGGAAAGAAGGAAACCCCTCAGGAACACAGTAGCCGCGGCACAGAGGCTGGCCCAGGCCACCAGGCGGACGGGGCACTCGCAAACCCAGCGATGACACCACGCTCCGATACAGCGCTCGGGATGAGCGTGTGGCTGGAAGCGTGTCAAAGGTGCAAAGATGGATGACGTCCGAGAGCCGGGAACCTGAGGGTGGAGGCTGTGAGCTGCAGGAAACAGTGCGGGTCCCGGGGGAGGGCGGTGCAGAGCGAGGCTCGTGGGTTCGCCCCTCAGCTCAGCACAGAAACAAAGCCGGAAACAATCAGCAAGAGGCAGAAACTTGTATGTGATTGGCGGGCGACAGAGACCGCGTCTGTCTGAGAGGAGAGGGGGCGGACGCCGGCTCTGAGGGAGGGTCCGGGTGTCTAAGGCGCTGCTGTCTGTCCACTGGTCATCCTGCTGCGGTGCCCACTGCACGGGGTTTCACATACGCGTGTGGACTGGCTTGGGGCTCGTGGAGATAGCGGGGTCTCCTGGAGACTCCCCAGGGGCTCGGCCCCCTCCTCCGCCAGCCCTGGGTGGACTGGAAGGCAGGGTTTAAACCCACAAGGTCCCACGAGATAGCGGGGGTCTCCTGGGGCCGGTCCGACCCTCCCCAGGGCCCAGCCCCTTCCCCTGCCAGCTCTGGGTGAAAGTGCCCCCTCCCTGAGCTGGGGTTTAAAGCCCCCAGGTCACACATGCGGCACAGAAGCTGTTAGTGGGGGGTGCCGGTGGGCGTGGAGACGGACTCTCCAGCCGCAGCCCACAGCCTGCTTGGGCGGGCCACTCCACCTGCGTCTGAGGCCCGCAGACCCCAGCCCCGCTGCCCGGCCTCAGGAAACAAACACCATTTTGTCCTCTTTCTCCTAACCACCCCCCCCACCACCACCACCACAAAGAACACACATGCTGTTCACTTCCAGTAATGTTTCAAAATTACAAGTTAATACATACAAAGATACAAGTACGATGCCGACTTCAGCCTGGCCCAGCCTGGGGTCGCTGTGGCCTTTGGGGAGTGAACCAGCAGGTGGAAAATCTCTCTCTCTCTGTCTCTCTCTCTCTATCTCTATCTCTCTGTGTGTGTGTGTGTGTGTGTGTGTGTGTGTCTGTAACTCTGCTTTTCAAATAGATCAGTCTTGTATCACGAAGTACGAGGTCAGTGCCTTTTTGGAAGTTTAAACACGCACCTATTGTAGTCACAGGACGCATGAGCTGACAAAACGCCAGAGACGACGCCCTCCAGGCAGCTCAGCGTGCAGGCGGCCACCCGGAGCACAGGGCAGGGAGGAACCAGAGGGACAGCTGCGGCCGCGCTCCGGGGTTCTCAGACCGGAGCGACACCGCTCTCACCGTAACCAGCCCCGTCGCTCACCCCTCGCGCCTCACCGCAGCCCAGGAGGCGCCGCTCGGGAGCCGAGGCCTCTGCCCGTCTGGGCCGTGCGGCTCCCTCAGCACACGGTGGTCACGTGCCCTGCCTGGCTGCCCCCAGGACGCCCCACGACACGGGTTCCCGACGCGGAGGGCGCTGGCCGGCACGCAGCCTGAGCGGCGGGGTTTTCTGCTTGTCACAGGTGGACCAGGCGGTGTTAGCAACCATAAGGCGCTCATGATCCTAGGTTTCTAAAGCAGGGTGCACGACCCAGCGTCACAGGGGACTCCGCGTGGAGAACGTGTGAGACGTGGGGCAGACAGACGGCCCGAGGCACGCCTCGGATCCCCGCTACCCACGGGGCCCATGGTGTCCCCTCCAGGCGTGCCCATGTCCCCGGGCGGCACGGGTACCCCCTCTGCTCCTGCCCCTCAAGTGCCAGCACCAGGAGGGACCCCAGGGCCACGGTCCGGCCTGAGCCTGTGCTGGCTGAGATGGCCCGAGCGGGGGTCCCCGGGCACGGGGACACAGTGGGGACCCCGCTCCTCCGTGGGTGTTGGGAAGAAGTCTCGGACGATGGAGCCATCCCCAGGCCGCGTCCCCAGGACATAACGAGCCCGCACAGGGTGCTTGTGCGAAGTCAGCCGCACAGGTGACCCAGTGTCAAGCCGCCAGCTATGAGGAGCGGTCAGCAGTGGACACAGCTGTGAGGCAAGACGGCGTCTGGGAAAGAGCCCGAGGCCTGCATCCCCTCCCCCACAACCCCTAGGCTGGGCCCCTCCCCCACAGTCCCCAGGCTGGGCCCCCTCCCCCACAGTCCCCTCCCTGAATTTGCACTCAGGCTTTTCACACAGAAACTGCGGTCTTTGAGGATGCTTCGAACACTCCTGGAAAATGCAATCGAAAGATTTTTTTTATGGTGAAAAAGGACGAAATCTATGCATATGAGGTCTGAAAAATATTTTTTTTTGACAGGCAGAGCGGACAGTGAGAGAGAGAGACAGAGAGAAAGGTCTTCCTTTGCCATTGGTTCACCCTCCAATGGCCGCCGCGGCCGACGCGCTGCGGCTGGCGCACCGCGCTGATCCGATGGCAGGAGCCAGAAGCCAGGTGCTTTTCCTGGTCTCCCCTGGGGTGCAGGGCCCAAGCACCTGGGCCATCCTCCACTGCACTCCCTGGCCACAGCAGAGAGCTGGCCTGGAAGAGGGGCAACCGGGACAGAATCCGGCACCCCAACAGGGACTAGAACCCGGTGTGCCGGCACCGATAGGCAGAGGATTAGCCTAGTGAGCCACGGTGCCGGCCTGAAAAATATTTATTTAAAAAATATGCTCGAGGGGCTGGTGCTGTGGTGTAGCGGGTAAAGCCGCTGCCTGCAGTGCCGGCATCCCATGTGGGTGCCAGTTTGAGACCCGGCTGCTCCACTTCCGATCCAGCTCTCTGCTGTGGCCTGGGAAAGCAGTAGAAGATGGCCCAAGTCTGTGGGCCCCTGCACCCACGTGGGAGACCTGGAAGAAACTCCTGGCTCCTGGCTTCGGATCAGTGCAGCTCCGGCCATTGCGGCCAATTGGGGAGAGAACCAGCGGATGGAAGACCTCTCTGTCTCTGTCTCTGTCTCTGTCTCTCTCTCTCTCTCTGCCTCTCCTCTTTCTGTGTAACTCAGACTTTCAAATAAATAAATAAATCTTTTTAAAAAAATA